TAATTAACATTTATAGAACATTGAATACAACAACAGAAGAATACACATATTGTTCTTAAGTGTGCACGGAACATTTAACAAGACAGACCATTGTAATGAGCTGAATTGTGTTGTCTACCCCCACCCCCCCATGTTGTGTTGGCCTTAGCCTAGAAATGCCTGAGGCACTCACCTGAACTGCATTACTCATAGAGAGCCCCCACAAACATTTCTTCCTACAGGGGCTAATATTGTGGTTGGACAGGCCCTTGTGGTTCTTATTATGACTCCAGGATGCACTTCAGCAAGAAACCATCAAGGAACTTTGCAGATTTATTACTCACAAATTCTGAAGGTACATGGGATACCTGAGAGCCACATGGGATACCTGAGATCATGGGTAGAGAGAGGAAGAGAGCACAAACCTGGGTCTCTGCTTGGGTTAGGGTCCATGGCTGGAATGTCTAGATTCACTCTTTATTTGCTAATTTTAAGCATAAGAGAGAGAATTAGGGAATGGGAAGGGAGAAGCCAAAACAATGTTGAATAGAACAAAGTTGGAGGGCTAACAATACCTGAAATCAAGGTTTATAAAAAAGTTACAGCAATCAAGACAATTTGATCCTGACATAAAATGATAACAGTGGAACAGATATATATGGACAACTGATATTCAACAAAAGTACAAAAGCAATAGTGTGAAGAAAGGATAATCATTTCAATAATTGGATCTGGAACAGCCAGTTTTCTCTATGCAAAACAATGAATTTGCATCCACATCTCAAACCATATACAGCCCTCAGTAAAATTAATAGATTTCTCATGAGAAATCATTGAGGCCAAAAGGTAAGCTGATATATTTAAAGAGCTAAAAGAAAAAGATTGTCAAGTAAAAATTCTATATCCACAAAATTATTCTTCAAAAACTGAAAGAGAAATTATGACATTCCAGATAAACAAAAACTGAACTAATTTATCACTTGGAAACCTACCCTACGAGAAATAGTAAAAGGAGTCCTTCAGGCAGAAATTCAAGGTTACTAGACAGTAACTCGAATCCATATGAAGGAATAAACCAGTAAATGTAACTACATGGGTAAATATAAAAGACCTAATAAATATATTTTTTGTTGGTTTGTCTTAGCTCTGGCTGCTATAACAAATTACCATAGACTGGATGCTTAAACAACAGATTTATTTCTCAGTTTTGGAGGCTGAGGAGTCTGAGATCAGGGAACTGGCATGGTTGGGTTCTGGTGAGGGCCTGCTTCCTGACCCATAGACAGCTAGCAACCTTCTTGCTGTTTCCTCCCTTGGTGAAGAACAGAGTGAGGGCTAGCTCTCTTCTTCTTCCTGCAAGGACTCTAATCTAGTCAATGGCTCCACCATTGTGACCTAATTACCTCTGAAAGCCCCCACCTCCGAATACCACCATATTGGGCCTTCAATATATGAATTTGGGGGGAACAAAAACAAGATAGCAAGATAGTCTTTTATCTGGTGTAAAAGACAACTGCATAAAGTCTTTTATCTGGTGTAAAAGACAACTGCATAAAGTAGTCATTATAAACCCATGATGATGGATGTACGATGTATAAAGAAGTAATTTGTATGGCAATAGCAGCAAAAACTGTGGAGGGAAGGCAGTGGAGCTATATACAAGCAAAGGTTTTATGTGCTATTGAAATTAAGGTGGTATTAGTACTAGAGGGTGAGATGTTCAATATAATATTCAGGGAAGCTACTAAGAAAGTAACTTTTAATATATGGTAAATAGGACAAGGGAATTAAAACCGTATACCAGAAAAATCTTTTTAATCCATAAGAAGACAGTAATGAAGGAGTGGAGGAACAAAAAAGACATAGAAAACAAAAGCAAAATGACAGGCATAAATCTTACATTTAATGTAGTCACATGAAATGTAAATGGGTCAAACACATCAATTAAAGTGCAGGTACTGACAGAATGAATTAAAAAAACATGACCTCATGATATGCTGTCTGCAAAGACACACTTTAGACTCAAAGACACAAATAGATTGAAAATAAAAAGGTGGAAAAAGATATACCATGTACAGAGTAACCAAATGAGAGCTGGAGTACCCATAGTAATATTAGACAAAATAGATTTTAAAACAAAAATTGTTAATAGAGGCAAAGAAGGACATTGTCTAATTATAAAAGGATCATTCTATCAAGAATATATAAAAATCATTAACACAGAGAAGCCTAACAACAAAGCCCCAAAATATGTTAAGGAAACACTGACAGAATGGAAGGGAGAAATAGACAATACAATAACAGTAATTGGAGTCTTCAGTACCATACTTTCAATAACAGGTAAAACAACTGGACAAAAGACCAAGCAGGAAATAGTCTTGAACACTACAGACAATGGGAATGCTCCAGCCCCCAAAAAGCAGAATACACATTTGTCTCAAATGCACATACAACATTCTTCGGGGTTGGTCATATGGTAGGCCATAACATACTGACTTGTCTCAATAAATCTGAAGGTATTGAAGTCATAGGTATGTTCTCTAATCCTATTGGAATGAAACTAGAAATCAATAACAGAAGGAAATTTGAGGAATTTACAAATCAGTGGAAATTAAACAACAAATTCCTAAATAACCCTAATAATGGGTCAAAGAAGAAATCACAATGGAAATTAGGAAGTAATTTGGGATGAATGAAAATGAAGTCACAACACACCGAAATTTATGGGATGCATCTGACACAGTGCTTAGAGTTTCCATTGGCTTCTGATACACCCAGATGTGGCATCTCTTCTCTAGTTAAAAGCAGGAATCCTGAAAAACAATTCCAACACTCTGATCCTCTGATCTGCTCAGGAGATTGGTTCCAGACATCCTCCAGCAAATGTTGACTGGATCAACCATTGAGCCTTCTCCCCCAAAAGCCACAGAACCTTTAACATGTGCCAAGCTAACCCCTGTTTTCATGTACAACTTCTTCCTTCAAAATGTTCAGTGGCGCCCATGACCTCTTGGGTTGAGGCGAACTCCTCAATCTGGTGTTTTGGCCTCTCCGAAATGACACTAACTTGACATTTCAACCATACTCCCCACTACTCCCAGTACCCTCTAGTCAGGCTCATAACCACTCAAGAGATTTTGCTCCCTGTGTGCCAGGAACAGGGCACAGATTTCAGGGCTAGGCAGGCCATAATGCAAATCTTAGCCTATTGTATGATGCTGAGTGTTTCAGTTTCCACATCAGTAAAACTGAGATTTTAAAAACCTACCTTGAAGAGTGACATATGCATTACACAGTGCCACACACACAGTAGAGGGTCCTTCTATAGAAATAAATAAATAATAATATAATAATTATTAATATTAATATTTATTAATACTATTTATTGGTTGTTATATTAATAATAATAATATAATATATTATTGGTATTCTCCAACTATCCACATCCTATATGACTTTCAAGTCTCTCCAAGGTCTAACAACCACCAGGTCATCTCTGACTATTGCTTTCCTCATCTAGTGTAGCTCTAAGCAGCAAACCATTGGTCAGTCACTCTGGCTACTATTGTATATTAATAAATATTATTTCTCACCTAGGCAGTAAGCAACTTGAAAATTAATATCATATTCTAGTCTAGAACACCTCTTCAGCAGTAGTACGACATAGTGCTTAAAATCCTAGACTCTCAAGCCAAACTGGATTCACAACCCAACTTCTTCATTTATTACCTGAGTGACTTTGGTTAATCTCTCAGTGCTCAATTTCCCCATCTGTGAAATGGGCCAGCAATGATAATTGTTCCCAGATAGGGCGGCTGTGGGGCTTAAATGGAGTAAGAAGAGTGTCTGGCATATAGTATCTGCTTAATTATCGTCTGTTGAATAAATTGACTCAAAGTCCAGAATATTAGTCCAAAGTTGCTAAAATTAGATTTACTGATACATATTAATCTTCACCTTCCACCATAAAAATTTCAATTTGGAAACACACTATTCGCTTTGGTAAACTTGCTTGATTAGAGTGTTTATAGCAACATAGATCAAATCATTGTAGCCAAAGTTGTTTTTCAGGAAATTATTTGAGACTAAGCTGAAAGCCCTAAATGTAGTATTCAGGAGGGTATCCTAATATACTTCCTAAATGTGTATTCCTCACTGGGACTCACAGCCCTAAGAGATAAATCATTGTTTTGTCTAATTAGAAGAGAAAGGAGATAGGACATGGGAAGGTTGCCTTTCCAAGATATTGAATATTTTTTGTGTCTGAGATAAAGCACCTGAGAGTAGGCAATATCATGCCTATTGTACAGCAGAAGAAACTGAGGCTCAGAAACATTACCCAAGGTCATACAACTGGTGGCCAGATTCAAACCCAGCTCTCCCTGACTCCTAAGCTTGTACTCCTTATATTCCCTACAAGGTGATGTGGCCATGGGCATAGAGCAGAGTTACCTCAGACTTTTTGTGAATACACACAGAGACAGTGCTCTAGACACGGAGTTTGAAGACTCCTGCTCACCTTCATGAATGAGGGGTTGGCTTTCCCCTGGCTGAGAAGAGTCTTTGGGTTTACAGAAATGTACTTAAGATCTTAGAGAAAAATGGAGGCCTAACTTATGAGAAAAAGAAGCTGGCACTGCCACAGGTCCTCCACGTCCTGTGGAGAAATGGTCTCAGATGCCCTTCACCTTGGCTGGAGTAGGGGGAAGGGTGTGATCCCCGCCCCTCACAAACACTAAAGGCAGAGATGAAAGTGGCTGCTTTCACACAAGGGCCACTTCTGGTTTCCTTCCCCACTCAGCACACCACTTGGGAGGGAGTTTCAGCTACTTCTCATAATGAAAGTGACGTTGGTTTCTCTGCCACAAGTGAATGAGGGGCAAAGAGGGGTATCTTCTTTGTTCCTGGAGCCTGCCCTGGAATTAACCTTGTACTATTCAGAAGATCAAGAAGTGCTGAGCCTGGCGGCAGTGCAGCAGCAGGGCCAGCCCTCAGCGAGGCCTCTCTCTGGCTCCCCAGTCATGCCCTGGCAGCTCTCTGCAGCGGTAGTGTTCTTCGTGTCCCTGGCTGGTGAGTGACCCCCATGGCTTTCTGTGCTGCCTCTGGTCCTATTAAATCCTAGTGCATGCTAGTGCCACTGACCAAGGTAAGACAGGAGAGACTGGATATAGCTGCATGGCCTTAGCTACTGTGGTATTTGGTGTGGGAATATCTCCTCCTCAACACAGAGCACGCTTTCATTTTTTTCCTCAAAGGCTTTCACAGCTTGGGCTTGTTGTCCGTGAGTCTAGTAGAGTAGGTGTCAACTCGAGAAGACAGTGACACTATACCTGAGTCCCAAATGGGTTCTGGGCACCTTATCAGGGCAAGTTTGTAGAAATCACTTAGAGTTAAGAGATGGAGAATTGAGCAGGGGCTTAGAGATGGGGCTGTTGCTATACTGTCTGGGAAAAGCACATTATGCCTTGCTTTTCCTGTTTATCACGAACGGAAGTGCCGTATTTATATTATATAAACAGCGAAGTGTGAAGGTGAATGAGATGTGGTCTGACAAATTATGCCATTTCAGAGAGGTATAAACCAAGGAGTCAAGAAATTTTTTTTTAAGTACTATTATAATTCAGATCAGAGAAACTATCTGGGAAACTGAGCTTTTTTTTTTTAAGTTTATTTATTCTGAGAGAGACAGATCAAGTGGGGGAGGGACAGAGAGAGGAGAGGGAGAATCCCAGCAGGCTCAGTGCTGTCAGCGCAGAACCCTACTCTGGGCTCCATCTCACAGAATTGTGAGATCATCACCTGAGCCGAAACCAAGAATTGGATGCTTAACTGGCTGAGCCACCCAGGCCCCCTGGGTAACTGAGCTCTTAATGATTATTTTATGTGCCCACCCTCTGCTTTTATGAAGAGCATTTTGTCCCTTGACATTGGGTCCTCTTGTGTGCTGTTATCTACTTGATGGCTAATCCACAATTTCTTCTAGAAGCACTGAGTTGAACACTTAAAGGAACCAATTCTGTCCATATGGCCCTGCTAATAACATGCTCACATGAGGGATGCAGAGGCACTTGACTACAACATGAACTGTCAGGAAAGTTGGGTGAAGAGTCAGGCCAGTGTCCTAATCCAGGCTGCTTTACTTCTGCCATGTTTTCAGAATTAGAGTGTCACATTCTTCTGGAGGCAAAAGGCAAACTCTAAGCTAATAAAAAAGCAAAAGATCTCAGTCTAGCAGTAACCCTCCATGACCCGTGTGTGAGCACCTGTTCAGAGAGTGTCAGATGACTGGCAAGGTCAGAAATACAATGAGGGCTCAATAAATTCACAGGCAGTTTCAGAGGAAGTGTCTACCCTGCCCTTTCCTCTCTGAGCTGCAAATTCTCTAGGGTGAACCTAGTGAATGAAGTGTGTGAAGGGGCCCCATTTTCCAGATGAGGGTACTGAGGCAGGTTAGGGAATTATCCATAGTCACTCAGCTAACAAGTGGCAGCCTGAGATTTGTATCCAGGAAGCCTGGTGTCAGGGTCCATGCTCTGTACCACTGCACCACACAGCCCTGTATGCATAGGTTCAAGAGATACTTGTTGAACTGGAGATGAGCAAAAACCATTGGACATTTTGGTAGGAGAGACATAGCTTCCAGGTAAACTAGCTCTGTAATTTTTATCCAGTCACTTTGCTTCCCTGGTGTCAAATTCTTCCCCCATAAAATGAAGGGATTTAAGTTTGTATCAGTTGTGTTTAGATTCAGCTGCTCATAGGAGACAAAAGATAGCAAAATAAATGAGATAAATGCTTGTTTCTCCTTCACGTGAAGACAAGTCCAGAAGAATTCACACCAGGTCTGGTGAAGGGCTCATTATTATAGGCCCACCCTCCTATGTGTGATGTTCACCTGCAAGGTCTTTTCATGGTTCTAAGTGTCTGCTGCAGCTCTAACCATCACATACAACTTGCAGGCTGGTTTGAAAAGGAAAACACAAAGGCAATAGAGAGGTCTTGAAGGTGACTAAGCAAGCAGCCCTACAAGCAGCCCTCCTGGAAGGCCCATATAACCCTACAACTTCTACTGCTTTGCCTCAAATCCAGTCACATATTCCCACCGAGCAGGAAAAGAGTCTTGGAGGCAGGGTTCTCTATTTCAGGCATCAAATCCTCAGCTTGAATTTGCAGTTCTGTGACTAAGGAAAAAGGGGAGGCTGGATTTGGGAGTAATTAGCCAGCAGTCTATGCCACAGGACTGGAGTCCCTTCTTTACGAGGGTCCTTTTTGAATCTCAAGTCCCACAGGAAAGTAACAGAGATAAGATTTACATCTTTTTGCTAAAACTGAAGTTTAAATCGTGCCAGAAACAGTCTTCCTGCAGCACCCAGCTGGGGCTACTTCTGCTGCCTGGGGAGGTGCCAGAGAAAGTATCTGGGGGCTAAATTCAATTCCCTGACCCTGGATATGGCCACAGGGCTCCATTTACTTGCCAACTGTGTTCCCAACTGCAGACAAAGTGTAGCCTCCAAGACCTGCCAGGCCTGTTCCCTCCTGGCCCCTTACCTCACTTCCCAATTCTTATGTCCCCACCATACTTACCCCCTTGCTGTTATCCAGACATACCAGGCTCTGAAGACCCTGTGTCTTTGCACATATTTTTCATCCTGCCTGGGATACCACTTACTTTCTTATCTGCCTAAAGAATTTCCCTTGTGTTGGATTCCCCACTGCATCCCATAGCACTCAGTACCTCCTTCTATAATAACTCTGGTCACCTCGAGGAGTGTGGTCCAGTTATGTGTCTGCCTCACAAGGCTTTGGGCCCCTGAGAACAAAGACTCCATGCCTGGCATGGAGCTTCGCTCAGAAGAAGCCCCTCAGATCTGTTGAATTGGGTGTGGCAGGGAAACCAAACAAATGCTATCTGGGAAGGACCAGCCATCTGGAAAGTACCTAGAGAAAAAGCCCTTGCATGGTCACTGACTTCCCCAGGGCTTGGCTGAAAAGTCATCTCTCAGCTCCTTCTGTGGTTGTAGGGGGTCCCAGCCTTCTCACACCTCTTCTGGCAGGTCATCATCTAGAGGAGTCCAAGCAATGGGTCTCAGTGCTGGGTACCTGTTGGCTGAGACTCCTGAATCCTGGAGAGAAGATGGTGGGGGTTGGGGGTATGGGCTTCACAAATTGGCATGTGAACTCCAGAGCTGTGTTCTTCTGAGTAGAGGAAGAGTTGACACAGATTCTGAGCTTTGCCTTGCCCTCACCTCTGCCCACTGCCCTCTTGATGGGTCTCAGACAGACTGGTGAAATAAACGAAACCTTTACAGGGTCAAAGGTCCTGTTTAAGAACTGTGACCCAGTTTTGACAAAGATTGGTCATATATGTGTGGTCATATGCATAGATTTTACAAAACAGTGTATTTTCCAGAATATTATTTCTATTAAGTACCTAATAAACATTTGAACTTTCTAGAATATTTTATAATGCACAGCATACCTACTCCTGTCAGTTATCCATCTAATTCCTGCCCATCTTTTATATCCCACAGTTCTATGGGGAAATGGGGAAGGGAGAAGCCACAGAAGGGAAGGAGAAGACTATTAGAACAATATTTCCCAGTTCTATCCGGGAACACACTCTGGTTCAATCTGTAACACATTCTGACATTTTTGGTCCAGCCACCTGCCGGCCCAGCCTTCTGCCCACCACAAAGCCACACACCATATCAAGACACCATGGACTGCCATCATCTCCAGCCACCCCACAAATACTTCCTGCATACAAAGCACATCTTGATGGGTATCATGAGTTGTCTGGTCCTGTTTGGGATGCTGTGAATTCATGAATGACCAATGTGCTTTTCCCCCTTGTTTGAGTTCACTCATCACTACTGAGAGAGGACTTTTAATTACAGTATGAGAAAGGCTCCCCCTTTTATAGGGTGTGCTACTCAGTTGAGAAGATTTGCTTTAGCTCATAAGCATAAGCTGTGCACAGTGAGATTTTATCAAGGATCTAATATCTCCCCAAGAGAACAAAAAGCAAATGGTTTCCAGTCTCTCAGAATTCTCTGAATCAGTCTTTGCTTATCACTACAAGATATTCCTGGAAAGTACACCTGGGAGTGAATTCTCTTTCTCCATAGTAATAGTATAAACTTAATGGAGTTTCTGTTGTGGTCATGACTGAGGAACCAGCAACTCAGGTTTGGCCCAGATGAATTGTGAAAGTAAATCTTCCACAATTGTCAACCTTCATAACAACCTTGAAATGGAAAGTTTTGCTCCAAATTCTACAACATAGGCATAAAAAATAAAGGCTTACAAAGTAAAGCTGCAGTGCATAAAATCCACAACTCTCATGTTATTATACATTTCAAATTATCTAAATGAGCATTTTAGATACAAAAAAAATACCTTTAATAATAGTCTCACATAATGTCATTAATAAGCCTTTCTAAAAGGTCATTTAAGACAATTTTAACTGATATTTTTGTCTTTCTCATTTTTCAAGCCAGCTGTGCAGAAATATTTCACAAGCGTTTCTAGTAGGCTTGAAGTTAGAATTTTTCTTCTGGAAAATAATCACTATTTTAGCATCTGAGCCTTTGAAAACCTCACCACCGACCGCCATTATGAGGGTTTGGTGAATTGGGGTCACTGGAGAAACATCCTGCTGTTCTTCTCTGTTTTTGTCTCTTCGCTCACTGTTCTTCCCAGTGACACACACACCATCTCCACTAATCCCAAATCCAAGGGCAGGCTTTGGTTCAGACAGGGACTCAAGTCTTGCTTCCAGAACTTACTAGGTGTCTCACCTCCACAATTTACTAGTTGTGGGATTATGGTCAAGTCGATGGGATTTTTCTAAACCTGAGTTTCCTCATCTGAAATATGGATAAAGATAGAACCCATCAGAGGGTTTTTTGAGGAATTGGTGAAAGATGACCCTTGACCTGAGGCCTGCCACGTAGTTAGTGTCCAGTAACTTGGAGATTTTATTGTTATTATTATAGGAAAAGTAACCACTTAGAAATGTAGTGAATGAAAGAGCGAGATAGTAAAGGAGTTTATGGATAATTTTGATTAGATGTGAAACACCAGCATAAAGTGATCTCCTTTTTCCTTTTCCCCATGTTTTCCCAAGTCACTGGCCAGCACTGGGGAGCTCCAGCTCCAGTGAGTGTAAATACAATGAGCAAATACAATGAAACCATAGCATTGAAGAGACAAAGCCATCTCTCAGTGGACCTGATCATAAACTCACAAGGAACATCATCTGCATTGTTTTCAGTTTTCTGATTTGCTGTGTGTTTGAGAGGAGGCAAGGATAGAACTATTTGGGTTGAAAAAGAGCCAGAGGCCTTCTACCCTCAAGAGATGGCCCAGGAGACACTTGTGATAAGTACTGGGTGCTGTACATAAGTGATGAATCACTGAATTCTACTCCTGAAACCAATATTGCACTGTATGTTAACTAAAATTTAAATTTAAAAAATTATATATATAATAAAAAATAAATTAAAAAAAGAGAGAGAGATGGCCCAGGAGAGAACCTGTGACAGTAACACACACTACAGGTATGCTTAATGGTCTAGGAAGACTTCACTTAAACCAACTAGTTTGAGCCTCACAATAATCCTAGAAGGTCTACAATGGTATTCAGTGCTGTTATCCTCATTTACTCATCCAGTCATCTGTTCATCCAATTCATATGAACACTTCTCATGCATAGGCACTGGTGGTAAAAAAAAAAAAAAAAAAATGCACACAATTCCCACGTTGAAGTTACTTTTAATCTTGTGGGAGAGATTCACAGTCAATAAATAAACCAATAAATAAACATATAATCAGGGCTATCATTGTGCTGGTACACACTGTCTGGCCAGGCTTACTGTTAAATATGTTAATACCATCCCCTTATCCCCTTATATAATTACAGGTTGTGATTAGCCCAGTGCAGGCAATGAATATAACACTGTGATGTGGAATTGTGGGGTGGGGAGCTATTTTATGTAAGGATTACAGGGAAGACTCTGAAGAGCTGGCATTTAAGCCAAACTATGAAGGATAGCCCACCAAATACGTCAGAGCAATTAGGGCTTAATTTTCTTTCCTGGTTGAGAAAGCCTGGGCCATTCAAAAGGTTAAGCAAACAATAGGAACCAGGCAGAAACTGATCTATATTTACAAAAACTGGCAGCAAGGGGTGCTGGGGTTAAGCGCCCAACTCCTGGTTTCAGCTCAGGTCATGATCTTACAGTTTGTGAGTTCGAACCCTGCATCGGGCTCCCCGTTGGCAGTACAGAGCCTGCTGAGCCTGCTTGGGATTCTCTCCCCCCCACCCTTTCTCTCTGTCCTTCCATCCCCCAAAATAAATATACTTAAAAATTGGCAACAAAATCAAAAATGGAAGGGAAATGAACCTCCTATCATTGGAGGGAATCATGCTTACATTGGATGAACACATGGCAAATTTGTAGGTACAATTCACACATCAGATTAAGGTTTGGACTAGAAGATTGTTAAAACTCCTTTCAAATATGGGATTGTATGATTGTGTGTAAATGAGCATGTTTGGAAAAAATAAAAAAAATCATATTTATCTTTAAAAGATTTCAGGGACGCCTCTTGGTTTCAACTCAGGTCATGATCTCACAGTTCGTGAGTTCAAGCTCTTCATTGGGCTCTTCACTGACAGTGTGGAGTCTGCTTGGTATTCTCCCTCTCTGTTCCTCCCCTGCTCAATCTGTATCTCTCTCTCAAAAATTAAAAAATAGGGGCGCCTGGGTGGCTCAGTTGGTTAAGTGTCCGACTTCAACTCAGGTCATGATCTTACAGTTTGTGGGTTCAAGCCCTGCATCTGTGCTGACAGCTCAGAGCC